ATACGGGGATATTAATGTCAGACAATTTTGCTACCTCAAAATTGTCCAAATAACTATGCAGAATACTAAACTAATACTACTGAACTAATAAAAAGTGTGTTTTGCTTTGAAGTGCCCATCTCCAGCACTCCTGTACAACTTTTACTAAGAGCTTTAGAATAACCAAGCAAAAATTATAAATATTGTGCATTCATGACTGACCTCAGGCTTTCACAGTATTTGCTTTTAGGGTGCTTTTATAGTATATTTCTGTGGGTGAAATTCCAGACTCCTTGAAATATACCAAAGTTTTAGCATGTTACTACCCAGGAACCAAGTTTCATAGAAACTGACACACACAAAAAAGGGTCAGGGATACCCAGCTCTGCCTCTGGGAGTTGTCTGAAAGTCATCAAGTAAGTTTCACAGCAAATTTAGAATAAAATAGACGTTTCAGAAGAGATTTGCCATCGCCAAAGGAGATGATTGTCCAAGAGGCAACATTCACCCACCACCTGTGAAGGTTCGGCCCATAATGGAAACTCCCAGCTCATCGGAATTAACCCATTACTTATCATGAAAGACTAATTACTTGTGTCCTTTTCCCCATCAGACACCATCTCCTTTTCTTTTAAGTCTTGGAAAACAACACTTAACACCCAACCCCAAAGAGCTTGGGGGGTGAGGGTGGTAGGAGGTGTGAGAATGGGATGGGTGGGATGCCACACAATTCCTATTGTCTGCGATCAGATACAGGGCTGCATACAATAAAACTGGATGTTGGCTCAAGGGTCAATAATCAAACCTAGATCCAGCCCTGCAGATGCTCTTACAAGCCGAAGAAAACAGGGTTTTCATTGGAGATCACATGTGACTATTGTGCCCATTACAGCCCTGGGCAATGCCACTAAGGTCAAAAATCACCCAGGTACTCCAAATGGCTTCCAAATGTGAGTCACCACCACATGCAACACCCATACATTGCAAATACCATTGAAGAACAATGCTGCATTCAAGCAAATTGCAGAAATGCAAGATTACAGCTGTTTAAACACAAATTCTGCTGCTGAAATAGAGGCACGAGTACTGAAAGAGGAAACGATTTAGCAGTTACAAATAGCAAGGGGGCCTTCAAGTTCTCAGAGTTACACCTAGGTGGAATGAACTTTAAAAGACAAAAAAACCCCCATATCCACAAACCATGTGTTTTCATAGTAAAGCATCCTGGAACACCCAATAAACAAAAGGTGTGGTCCCCAAAGTATCGCTTCCGTCAGGGGTTGGCCAACAGAGCCCCTTGCATTCCAGCAGCAAATTAAGACCCGTGCAAATACTGAATGTCCACCTTCCCACAGGCTGAAAGGACAGTGACAGCTGTTAGCAGCCACCCAGCTTTCACAAAGGTCAAGGAAAAACTTGATTAAATCACCTCCCTCCCCAGGCTTTTTTTAAATTTTACATTGAATGTGGAAAAAAAAAAAAAAAAAACCCACAGCAACAAACCCACAGTGTCTGCACCTCTGAAACATTCGTAACAAAAAGATAAAACTTTCCACATTCCATCACTTGGCCACCTGAACCTGACGTGCTGTGGCAGTGTTCTGAAAAGGCAGAATTTTCCTGGACTACCTAACCACAAATTTACACTGAACTCCCCCAAACTACATCCTGGACCAAATGTCACACTCAAGAAAGTTTAATACACCAGCCAGAGCCTTTTCTACCCTGAAGACAAGCACCGAAGTGCTGAGGTCAGTCTGCAATGTAATCCCACTTGTTTCAAGGGCTTCATACCACACAAAAGGACACTGGTGGGACGTGTGACACACACTCGTGATTTTACCCACTCAAGTACCCTTCAGAAGACCTGTGGCTGCCATACTCCATGTTCTTTCCCATTAGCCAAGAGAGGAAAAAGGTGAAGGAGATCCCAGTGTGCTTTTACAGCCTGTTGTCTCCAAAGCACAGCACTGAAGGTACAAGTCGGGTCTGGGCATCCCTACATCACCTTTACTTATCACTTCCACTTCTTAAGTATTTAGAAAACACTGCCAGTTTCAAGAATCAGATGTGAAATAAATATGTACTACACCCTCCTACCTGTCAGCCCTTCATGCACTCTTGAACTCAGGTCAAAACCAAAATGTTTTGGTGCTGTGCCTGCACTTTTTCCTTAACCCACTGCCTCCTCCTCAGCTCCTGAATGTTTGGAGTACAAGAGGAAGAATTCTGGAGGGCTTGGATGGACAGAAGCTGCAAGCAGGGTTCCATGAGACCTCCAGGTTTTGTTCTGCAACACCGGATTGCTGGGAGGCCCCAGCCCAGCTCATTACCCCCAGAACTCCACCCCATGCAGGATATAAACGCTGCATTAGGACATCTGATAATTCTGCTGGCTGGGGGTCATTTTACACTCCCAGGGACAATCTTGAGATGTTACTCAAAGTCCAGAATCAAGTGAAATATCAGAAGGAACTTAACAATAGGATTTGCAAGCCAAAGGCACAGGATGCACTCACATCACAGCACAAGGCTAAAAGCCTTTTTGGGGAATAACTCACACACTGCCAAAGGGATTTTATAGCTTCTGAAGTATGAGGCTTTCTGCAACCAGGCTTTTTCTCCCCCAAGGAATGAACAGAAATTCTACATAACTCCAACATTAACATTCTATGAGCTCTAAAAAGCAAGCTGATTTTACTTCTTTGCTAAATTTAAAGGGTGAATCATGAACATGCACCCAGCCTGGTAGATCAGTAATACAGGGTGCAAGTCAAGCCTGATCAAACATTGCTGATTTTTCTCGCAAATTTCTGAACTACAGTTAAAACCACTTGCTTTTGCCTCAACTTTCAGCCCTTCAAACCACATGTCACATATACATGAGTCACATGTAGAACAAGCATTAGCTGCTTACCACACCTGCTCCTGAAAACCCATTAAAAAAAAAAAAAAGACAACTGAGTTCTAAAGTAAATGGAAATTTAATTTTGTTTAAAAAAGAAATGCCATGATCAACAAAAGAAAGTGGCATATATTAAATACAGGTTGTTTGTGGGGTTTCCTTTCCAGTGAAAGGGAGAACACAGAGTAAGAAATCAAATACCTAAATACCCAAAGCCCTGGAAACCGAGGTGTTTTCAGAGCTCTGCCCAAATTAAAATGGAACAACTCCTGCCAAATTTGTATCTAGAATCATTCATTCTCTTGATCCAACCCTTGTCCTCAGCAACTTACTACATTTCTCAGAGTGCCTCACTGAGGACTTGAAAAAATGATACTTTGATGCTGCTGAAGGACAGTTTCAGAAACAAAATTATCAGATTAAAAGTTGTTACAAAAGCAATTTGTAACTGTTGCAGAAACGTATATGGCTGCACACATGCACACACCCCTACAAATATTACATAAAAGAAGAACTATTTATAGGCACTACTCTCTACTACCATCCTGGTTCAGGAGCACCTCAGCATTGCTTGCAGTTTTAGGAGTAAAAAAAAGAAAAGTTCATTTTTTGAGAATTCAGAGTTTATTTTACAGTGTAAAAATTGTCAAATTATGATGCCTTTTACTTTAATTCCACGCTAACTCTTCAGTCTCCTCCCAAAGCATCCAAGATGCAGAAAAAGGAGGCAACTGCAGGTTCTCCCAGAAACATTCCCATGCAGCAGAGCTGTTTATATACTGAATATATATGATGAATCAATGTAGCATCACTACACTATTTCACCAGCATTTATCACCTCTCTTTCTATGGCATATAAAACCACACCAAAATAACCTCTCCCAGTCAGCAATTGCTCCCTAATTTACTGCATAGGTCTAACCAGATCTGGCTAAAACATGACTCCAATGTCACAGCAAAAGGGGATGCTGAGCTGCCTGCCAGAGCGGGCCAGGAATGCACCCAGAAAGGACAGCAATTAGCACATCTAAAATAACCATTTCTGCAAGAGGCAGCTCAAAAGCTCAGATGTGTTTTCATCTCAACTCACGCCGGTTACCAGCTACAAGCACATGACTACAGGAGAGAATCCTGCAGTGCTTTGCAATCCAGATGATCCACTGCCACTTATTTTGACTTCTTCATTCAAAACACCCTTTCCATCTCCCTCCGCCCCCTCCTCCCGAGCACAGATCTGTCCCAAGATGTTCCTTGTCCCACCACTCGGGGAAGAGCCGCTCCACAGCCTCCTGTCCGCGGGTACCAGCCCTCCCAGACCCAGCAGGTTTGCTCCATGCTCCACCATCAAACATGGCTGCACCATGTCCTCTTTGTGATTGAATATGTGGAACAGCTCTTCTGCCTTCCCAGACCTCTTTCATCTGCCTTCCCTTATTTCTTCTCATTAGCAAGGGACCGTTTCACATCGCTATTGCCCACTTCTCTTTCCTTTTAACAGCCCGATATTTTCCATTAACGTTCCACCGTAAACCAAATGCATTTATACTTTCCAGGCTCTCCTCAGAAGCATCAAGGAGCTTTAGACATTGAAACCCTCTGCACCATTAAAACCTGCTTTATTTACACACAACACAAAACTCTCCTCGTAAAAATCTCCGTCCTTCAGATCCAGCGTGGAGAGAAGCCCCTTAACAGCAGCGACAGGAAATTTTATCATCTGGCTTTTCTTCCCTGCAGCTCCCTCTCCTGAAACCGGACCCCCTGTCCATAGATCCACCTCGGAGCCTCCCGCAGCAGCCACACACAAAACCCACCCCACGCTCCGCTGCGAGCCTCCCTCCGCTCCCCAGCCGCCGCCGCTGTTCTCGTGCTACGGAGCTTTTTTTAAAAAAAAAATTAATTCCTTCTGCAAAATTAAATCAAACTCCTGAACCTCCGCTGGGATTTCCATGCAGAGGCTGCACATGAAACTTTCCGGAGCGTGGGGGACCCCCGGGCTGAGCTGCGCCGAGGCGGCGGCGCGGAGCGCACCCGGCTCCCCTGGCCGGCCCCGGGCACGGACCGTTATGCCCCGGTGCGGCTCCCGCAGCCCCGCTCCCCCCGCGCCCGCACTCACCCACAGCTCCGTGCCCCAGCTCATGGCTCCGCCGGCGCTGAGGGGCGGACGGGGGGCGCTGGCGGTGTCGCTGTGCCCTGGCTGTGCCTGCTCGCCCTCGGGAGGGCTGTGCCCGGCGGTGCGAGCGGAGCGGGCGGGACGGGCGCTGCTCACCGCCACTCCCGCCTCATCGCGCCGCAAAATGGCCCGGGCGGCGCGGGGCGGGGGGGGCGACTGACAGCTCCGGGCTGCGCAGGCGCGGAGCCGCCGCCGCCGGTGCGAGGGGGGCGGCCATGCCGGCAGAGCGCATGCGCGGCCCGGCCGCGAGGGGAGCAGGGCTGTAGGGAAAGGGGATCGGAGGGGAAAAGGGGATCAGTGGGGAAAGGGGATCGGAGGGGAAAAGTGAGATCAGTAGGGAAGGGGAACGGGGATCAGCGGGGAAAAGAGGGATCTGTGGGAAAATGGGATCAGCAAGGAAAGGGGATCGAAGGGCAACGGGGATCGGAGGGGAAAAGGGGATCAATGGGGAAAGGGGATCGGCGGGGAACGGGGATCGACGGGGAAAAGTGGGATCAGTAGGGAAGGGGAACGGGGATCAGCGGGGAAAAGAGGAATCTGTGGGAAAATGGGATCAGCAGGGAAAGGGGGTCGAAGGGCAACGGGGATCGGAAGGGAAAAGGGGCATCAACGGGGAAAAGGGGATCTGCGGGGAAAACGGGGATCGGCGGGGACCGGGACCATGGGGAAAAGAGGGATCAGTGGGGAGCGGGGAAAAGCAGAATCAGTGGGGAACGGGGCCCGAAGGAAAGGGGATCCGCAGGGAAAAGGGTGATTAGTGGGGAAGGGGATCAGGGGGAAAAGGGGGTCAGCGGGGAACGGGGATCAGCGGAGAACGACGGCAGTGCAGGAGAGGGGATCGCTGGGGAGCGGGGATCAATGGGGAGCAGCGGTGGCTGGGGAACAGGGTCAGTGGAGGAGCAGGGGGTCAATGGGGAACAGGCGTCAATGGGGCAGTGGGGATCAATGAAGAACGGGGGTCACTGGGGAATGGCATCAGTGGAGGAGCAGGGTCAATTGAAAGAAGGGGTCGCTAAGGAATGGCTGTCACATCCAGGGAGGAGGATCTCCCCAGCCTGCTCCCAGAATCACCAGCACTGGCACAGGTTGCCCAGAGAAGTGGTGGATGCTCCATCCCTGGAAACATTCAAAGCCAGGTTGGACAGGCTGTGAGCAATTTGATATGGTTGGAGAGGTTCCTTCTTACTGCAGGGGGTTGGACCGGATGACCTTTAGAGGTTCCTTCCAACCCTAACTATGGTAACATTCTGTGCTTTCTAAAACTTACACAAGTTTTAGGAGTCTGTTTGTTGGATACACTCCAGGACCTCAATGTCCTTTTTCAAGTGAGGGACCCAAAACTGAATGCAGTATTTGAGGTGCCTCACCTGTTCCAAGTGCACAGGTGGTGATTCCAGCCCCACCCACCTTCAGGTGCCCTTCTCTGCCTCTTACCCGAGCCAGGTGAGGCTGGTTTTGAAGCAAATGTTCCAGTTTTGGTCATTTGTAAAGGAGGAAAGGGCCCTAGAAAGGAAGAAAACCCACAGCCTTAGAACTCAGAACCCTTGAAGCTGGCTCATGTGTGGACATCAGGAGGAATTTCTTCATAGAAAGGGTGATTAAATATTGTCATGGGCTGCTCAGGGAGGTGGTGGAGTCACCATCCCTGGAGGTGTTCAAGAAAAAACTGGGTGTGGCACTCAATGCCATGGTCTGGCTGACAGGGTGGGGATTGGTCACAGGTTGGACTCAATGACCTCACAGGTCTTTTCCAACTGAATTAATTCTGTGAACTCACTGCAAGGGCTGACTTCTAACTCAGCTAAGCAGTATATACATCCCTCACCCCCAAAATAACCCAAATCCAAGAATATTAAATCCACCATCTGTCACCAAAATGCTCAGCAAGCAAGCAGGAAAATAACCAAATTATCTGCCTTTGCATAAATGTGGGTTATTGTAGCAATTACACAGGCCTTGCAAAAAATGTCTCATTTTCTTGCCAGAAAAATATTTGGTTTGCGATCCTCTGTCATTTATTTGAGCTGTGTCACTTAATCTCATTTTGCATTTCTGCTTTTCAGCTACAACAAATGTAAAAAGAGCTGTAAACCAATATATTTATTGCTGTATCTATTCATGACAGATTTTCATGGGGGGGGATAAAAAAGGGAAGCATATTAATTCACCTGAGGTAAAAGGCTTCTGCTCATAAAGGGTGGAGATGCTTTTGATGTGAGAAGATAAAAACTGACCAGCTGCTACAAGAAGCATTATCTGCCCTACATTAATGCACTTCTTCCACTGATGCTTGGCTGTACCCTACACGAGGAAGAAAAATACATTAAGCAATTCCAACATTCTGAACAACAATGAAGACAAATGTTAATAACAGAATTGCATTTATTTTTATCCGAGTTCCATTGATTCGAACATGAGAGGAGAGTGCAGCTCCTCACACAGCTGTCTTTGAAGAGACACAACAGGCAGTGCTTTTGTTCATCATTAAAAGTTATTACTTTAAAGGGCTGGCTTCATAACAACTAAGAGACACCCTGTTCAGCTCATTTTAGAATAGTTCTTCCTTCTACTGCCAACATATTTGAATATCCAAGCCTGCCCTGCTGCCTGAAGCACAACCACAGTCTTCCAAGGGCTGTACTTCCACAGGCTCCCAGACACCATCTTTAGCCCTACATCCACCATTTTGCACATTGCAAAACCAGACAGCACTCTTCCATCACCAATTTTTCAGAGCTTAACCTATAAATACTTGCAGAAAAAGAATGTACAGAAGCAGAAAGCAGCACTGGTATCATCTGAGCTAAGTTTGTGTGGAATTTCCTTTTGCACAAAGAGTTGGGAGGGGAACAGGGCAAACCTGTTACACCAGCATGGGCAGGGAAACCTGTCCACACTGGGAGATAGAAATGCTCCACCAGTTCCAGGGAGATAAAGGCCAGAAATACAAGTTTTGTATTTTGATGGTACATTAGAATAAACCATGCCAAAAGCTATTACTAGTTGTCAAAATTTCTGTGGACAGAGGCTCAAGTCAAAAACTAAAAAAAGTTAGTTCCAGATCTTTCAAGAAAAGGATTTTCCCCTGTTTTTGACTGCTTTTATTGTTTAGCCTGAGACTCTCCAAGGCAGGGACTGCCACTTACATTATTACTTTCAGTTGTGCAGTACCCAAAACAAAAGGGCCTGCAGCTTGGCTGGTCCCTAATTAATAATGTAATTAGCAATGACAGGAGCATTAAGAGCCCTTTATGCCAAAGTCGATGCTGGAAAGCCCAGTGGGTTGCAGTCCCAAAAAATAACTCAAAATTACGCTTAAAAGTTAGATTATCTAGCACTTCTCCACTGAGTTAGCACAATTCATATCTGAGCAACAGAAGCTGGGTAGAAATTTTCCCTCAGCCAGGCTGAGAACAAGACCATGCAGATCTGTTATCCAGATATGGGCCTATTCCTGTAAATTCTCTGTTTATCTCCCCTGTTGTTATGATTCAGAACACTCCCAGATTCAGCTCCAAAACCCAGCTAGAAGCAATTCCATTTTTAGAAAGCCAGGACTTTGTTTAGGAAACCCCAATCCCCCTTGAAAACAGCCAGATTGACTGCTAAACGATTGAGAAACCATGTAAAGTAGATACAATAAATCCCTAAACTGCAGTTCAATCGAAACCTTTTTACTCTGTGTTTGTTTACTTATGCAAAGCAAGAAAAATCACAAGTCTCAGAGCACGGACAAGCACTTCCAGCTTCCAGGACACAGCAGGAAGAGGATGTACCTTTCCCCCCAGAGTTACCACCCTTACAGCTGCTTCCCTTTGATTTTACAATTCTACCCGAATTATCCATGTCCAAGATAAGGAACATGGATGTCGCCGGGAACCTCTCGTACACTGGGACCGAAACAGCACCCGGAAAGGAAGGGGACACTCCTTTCCTAGAAGCCATCATCATCATCGCAGCTGTTTCCTCTCTGCTGTTACAACACCACTCAGATCACTCAGACACAACAGGGGACCGCGGTGCTCTTTAATGCCCCAGCAGAGCCCAGAGGGGCCTGATCAAAACCAGATAAACACCTGATAAACCCTAATGGCCCTGGCCAGCCTCACCTGGGGCCTCTGCCCACACCCTCTGCCCTGGATCCAGGGGCTGCATTTAAGCTCTGGCCTGAAAGCCCAGTTGTTTTGGCCCCTGTTTTAGGCGGTCCCAGTTCCAGCTCAGGCTGTGCCTGGCTGTAGATCCTGTTGCTATGGAGCCTGGCTCACATCTGACCTCACCTATACCGCCCTGTCCCTGTGGACCTGTCCAGCCATCATCAGACCATGACTGACCCTGGTTCCCATCACCCAAACTGCAGATGGACTTCCCAGCTCAGCCTTGCCCCTGGCTCATTGCTATGAATCCAGCAGATCACCTGGATTTTGGCTGCCTCCAGCCCTGACCCCTGGGTCTCCTCTCTTTCTCCAGGGACTGTGGGATCCTGAGTGGCTCCGTGGCTCCTGCCCTGGTCTGTGTTATCTTGCTCACCTCCCCTCTCCACACCTGTACTCTGGCTCACAAAATATAAATTTGCCATGAAATGGCAATGTGGCTCATTCTGTGCTGAGCTGTGCCTGCAGGCTGTTCCTCCATCATGATTTTCTGACACTGCTGATACCTTCCATCCAACGTCAACAATTCTCCACCATACACTTAAAAAACCCCCAAACATTCTGTGATGAGTTCTAATTATATGCTTAATTACAATTAAGGAATTAAAAAAATCCAGGCTAAGAATAACTGCATGTATTGAAACAGCAAAGAGATCTTGTGTCGCAGCTACAATGAAACAAATCAACATCACAATGAAAATTATTGTTACAGATTATTAATGACAGTCAGAAGCTGCTTTGTATCTTGATAGAGATGTAAATTTAAATACAGACATCTTTTAACATACAAATTCTTAGAAAAATGCATAGCCAAAGAAAATAAACATGTTATAAATTCTCTTTTTTGTTCATTTTGTATAGGTAATTGGGGAACTTACAGGTACCACAATATCCTAATAGTTGGTGAAGAAATATTGAAAAAAAAAGATCTTCAGA